TTTTTCTCAAGTGCACATAGAACATTCTCCAGAATAGACCATATGTTACACCACAAAATAAGTCTTTTTTCAAAAGATTTTATTTATGCATTTGAGAGAGAGAGAGAGCACAAGTAGGGGGAGCAGCAGAGGGAGAGGGAGAAGCGGGCGTGGGGCTTAATCCCAGGACCCTGAGATCATGACCTGAACAGAAGGCAGATGCTTAACCAACTGAGCCACCCAGGCGCCCCCACAAAGTAAGTCTTAATAAATTTTTGAAAACCGAGATCACACAAACTATCTTTTCCAATCACAATAGAATGAAATTCCTAGAAACTTAGAACCAGAAATCAATAGCAAGTGGAAAATTGGAAAATCAAAAATTGTGCAAAATTAAACAACATACTCTTGACCAATGGGTCAAAGAAATCACAAGGTAAATGAGCAAGTATCTTGCAAGCATGATGAAATGGAAAAAAAAAAAATGCCAAAACCATGGTATTTAGAGAAAGCAGTGCCAAGAAGGAAATTCACATTCTTTTCCTGTAAATACTTAAAAAAGATCTCAGATCAACAACCTAACATTACATGGTAATGAATTAAAAAAAAAAGTGAACCCAAAACTAGCAGAACGAAGTCACAAAGATTCAAACAGAGAAATGAAATAGTGAATAAAGAGAAAATCAACAGTTTTTCTTTAAATCAATAGAACTGAGAAAACTTAGCTAGATTGGCTAATTAAAAAAAAAAAAAAGAGGATTCACCTAAAATCAGAAATGAAATAGAGGACATTGCAGCCAATTTTTACAAAAATAAAAAGGATTTTAGGAGTACTATGAACAATTGTATGACAAATTGGACAACCTAAATGAAATGGATAAATTCCTAGAAACCTCTAACTTGCCAGGACTGAATCATGAAGGAATAGAAATCTGAACAGCCCTGTAACTAGTAAGAGAATGAAAAGAGTAACTAAAAACCTCCTCACAAAGGAAAGGAAAACAAAACAAAACAAAAACAAAAACCTGCCCAAGACCAGATGGCTTCACTAGTGGATTCTATCAAGCATTTAAAGAATGAAAAGCTATCCTCCTCAAACTCTTACAAAAAATTGAAGAGGGAACATGTCCAAATCTACTCTATGAGGCCAGCATTCCCTCTATACCAAAGCCAGAGAAAGACACTTCAAGAAACAAACTACAGACCAACACCCCTGAAGAATATAGATGAAAATCCTCAAGGAAAGAAAAGAGTATTAACAAACAGAATTCAGGAGTGTATTAGAAGGATTATACACCACAACCAAGTGGGATTTATTCCTGAAATGCAAGGATGGGTCAACATAGGAAAATCATTTGATAGAGTAAAACACATTACCAGAATGAAAGACAAAAACCACATGCTTGTCTCAGTTGATGCAAAGAAAACATGTGAACAAAAATTCAATATCCTTTCATAATAAAAACACTCAAAAAACAGACTAGAAGAAAATTTCAACTAATAAAAGGCACACACGACAAGCCCACAGATAACATATCCAATGGTAAAAGACTGAAAGCTTTTACTCTGAGATCAGGGTAAGACAGGGATGTCTATATTGGCCTCTTCTATTAAATATAGTACTAGGAGTGCTAACCGGAACAATTAGGCAAGGAAAAAAAAAAGCATCCAAATTGGAAAGGAAGACATTATCTCTGTTCCCAGACAAAAATGAACATATAAATATATATAAAACCTATGTACCTGCAGAAAACCCTAAAGATTATACAGACACTCTATTAGAACTAATAAATTTGGCAAAGTTGCAGAATACAAAATTAACACAAAAACTGGCTGCATTTCTACACACTAACCAAAAGGAAATTAGGAGAAAAATTCCATTTACCATCTTATTAAAGGACATAAAATACTTGGGAATAAACTTAACCAAGGAGCTGCAAGACCTGTGCACTACGAACTATAAAACATTGCTGAAAGAAATTAAAGACAGAAATAAATGGGAAAATATCCCATGTTAATAGATTGGAATACTTAGTGTCATTAGGATGTCAATACTACTCATTAGGATGTCAAAACTACTCATTAGGAGGTCAATACTTAAAGGAATCCCCATCAAAATCCCAATAGCCCTTTAGCCCTTTTTAACAGAAATTTAAAAAAGCAATCAGGGCACCTGAGTGGCTCAGTCATTAAGTGTCTGCCTTTGGCTCAGGTCATGATTCCGGGGTCCTGGAATCGAGTCCCACATTGGGCTCCCTGCTCAGCGGGAGGCCTGCTTCTCCCTCTCCCACTCCCCCCGGCTTGTGTTCCCTCTCTCGCTGTCTCTCTGTGTGTCAAATCAATAAAATCTTTTTAAAAAATCCATTCTAAAAATCATATGGACTCTCAAGGGCCCCCAAATAGCCAAAGCAATCTTGAAAAAGAGCAAAGTTAGAGGTCTTATACTTCCTGGTTTCAAACTTATAACAAAGCTACAGTAATCAAAGCAGTATGGTATTAACACAAAGATACACAGACCACTGGAATAGAATAGAGAGCCCAGAAGGAAACCCTTGTGATTTTCGACAAGAGTGTCAAGACCATTCAATGGACAAAGCACAGTATTTCCATCAAATAGTGGGGAGGTAGGGTGGGGGGCAGGGATGGGTGTCTACATCCAAAAGGATGAAGTTGGACCCTTCCTTTATACCACATACAAACATTTGCTCAAAATGGATCAAATGCCTAAATATAAAAACTGAAACTATAAAGCCCCCGGAAAACAGGGGGAAAGCTTCACGACATTGAATTTGGCACCAAGGGCACAGTCATCTAAAGAAGACAGGCAAATTGGACTTCATCAGAATTGAATACTTCTGTGCACAAAATGACACAATCAACAAAGTATAAAGGCAACTTATGGAATGGGAGAAAATATTTGCCAATTTTATCTGATGAGGGGTAAATAGTCCGAATATATAATATATAGAGAACTCCTGCAAACTCACCACCAACAAAACAACTTGATTAAAAAATGTTCAAAGGAGGAGCATGTGACTCTTGATCTTGGGGTCATGAGTTCGAACCTCACATTGGAGATTACTAAAAATAAACTTAAAAATGTTAGAAAAAATGGTCAAAGGACCAGAATAGACATTTCTCCAAAGAAGACATCCAGACAGCTGACAAGCATGTGCGAAGATGCTCAATATCACTCGTCAGGGAAATGTGAACCAAAGCCACAATGACCTATCACCTCACACCCATTAGGATGGCTACTATATTTAAAAAAAAAAAAAAATTAGGAAATAAGTGTTAGCAAGGATGTGGAGAAATGGGAACCCCTGTGTACTCTTGGTGGAAATGCCAAAAAAAAAAAAATGCACCCACTCTGGAAAACATTATGATGATTCCTCAAAAAATTAAACATAGAATCACCATATGATTTACCAACTCCACTTCTGGGTATATACCCAAAGGAATTGAAAGTACGGACTCTAACAGATTTTGGTACCTCCATATTTGTAGCAGCTTTATTCACAATAGCTTAAAGGTACAAGCAACCCAAACGTCCACCACAGATGAATGGATAAGCCAATGTGTGATACATACAATGCAACATTATCCTTAAAAAGGAAAGACATTCTGACACTTGCTACATATGGGCGAACCCTGAGGACATTATGCTAAATGAAGGAAGCCAGTCACAAAGAGACCAATACTGCACGAATCCACTTAGAGTCGTCAAAATCATGGAGACAAAGTCTCCCACTGCTGGTGGAGGGGGGAAAGGGGGGTCACTGCTTAACGGGGACAGAGTTTCAGGTTTGCAGGATGAAAAAAAAAAAAGTTCTGGAGGTGAATGGCGGCAATGGTCACACAACACTATGAACGTCCTAAAGAGCGCTTTCCTGCACTTATACGTGGTAATTAGAATTGTTTAAGGTAAAGAACGTTTACGGAGCACCCACTCCATGCTAGGCATGGTGATACACCAATAAGCACTGTACTTCTAAGCAAAGTAACTATAAAAAAAAGAACACATTTAAGGAGCCAGCATTCTAAGAGCAAGAACTGGCACAGACGGACACCCAAACACGTGGGAATTTGTAACCGGGTTTATCTGACACAGACTGAACATTTTGGCAGGAAGCTAGAAAATATCTAAAAAGTATATCTCATCTGGAAAAGAACGAAAAATATCTCTGTAAAGGACAGAAAAGGTGTCGAATAGAATTCTTTAAGGTTCATATTTCATTTTTTAAGAAATTTTAACCCGTGACCAATAGGCGGGGACCCCCCCCCAGAAGCAGATGCTGTGACGTGTTTGGTGTCTAGACTTTTCCGTCACAGTTGGGTGGGGACACATCAGAAGCCGTGTGAAGTCAGCAGCCAGATAAAGATACGCTGTCTCTGCTTCTACCGCATGCTCTATCGTCAACCCCCTCCCATCTACTCCAGAAAACAATGAAGGATAAGAGATCTGAAAGAACTTTTAAAAAAACTCACCTGCTAATGGCGACTTGCCTAGGGAGGGCGCCCAGCGTCCGTCACTTCTAAGTTGAAGAGCTCCACACTTTGGTGTGAGCCACAGATTCCAGGCCTGAGGCTGGATTGCTCTCAAAGTGGAGGGAAACCACCCAGAGGTCACCTAATACTCTAGATCCATCCGAATGTCCCTGTGCTTTGGTGACCTGGATATCCTCTCTTTATCCTTCAGGAGTCAGCTCAGGCATGACCCCCCCCCCCCCGAACTTCCCTTCACACCCACTTTGGGTTGGGTGCATCCCCCGTGCTCCCAAAGCCTTCCTTGGGTGCTGTGGTTCAGCCCTCCCCCTAAGCTGGGAACCCCAGGGTGGGGTCGAGGTTGGGGGGACACCATGTCTTGGTTCTCTGCACCGCAGGTGTAGGGAACCACCTGACCGTACCTCCTGTTCTTTTCCAAAGGGGGAGAGGTCCTTTTAATGCGGGTTCCCCTGGGCCTGCTGCTGGGGACTCCCCATCCTCTGGGCACACAGCACGGCCTTCTCTTCTCTTTCCAGTTTGAGACTGTGCCTAAGCCAGCACCGGGCGGCCAAGGATTTCAGACTCCTTCACCTTCTCTCACCAATCCCAGCTCCCCAGCAAGGCCAGGATTCTTGGCTGGGACAGAAACACCAGCATGAAACGCCAGGAGGGTCAGGGATCACGCTTCCTCCACATACAGCAAAGGAGAGCTCGGAGTCGAGGATTTCAAAATACTTCTGGGGATAATGAGGTTCACAGCTGGTCGGGAGGATTCTCTCCCTCCGTCTACACCTGCACTGCTCTCTAGGAGACAGCCTGGCCCCCTGGGCCCACCTCTGCAGATGGACCTCCATTCCAGCAACTGTTCTTGTGCGCGAGGTTTTCTCTCTTGCTCAGCTGCTATGTCTGAGGCCTCCACTGTGTGAGCCTGGCCTGCCCTGGGGTCTTCCTGGCTCGGGATCGGCTTTCCCCGCCCTCTACAGCATCTCCCTTAAGACATGAGGCTCCTTGAAGTGGACTGATGGTCCCCAATTCCTTCATCATAGGCCTGTTGGGAGAGTGTCCCTCTTTAGGGTAGATACTGAATCTGGAACTGAATTGTTTTTGGGGGGGCACTTGAGAGGGCCTTTTTGAGGGGCTGGTTTCCACAAACACCTGCTAGGGGCACCCAGGCCCCAAAGATACAGCCTTCAAAGCTGTTCACTTTCTTTGGGAAGGCAGACTTGTCCGTTAACTTTTGTACTGAAAAGTAAATCCGGCAGAATCCCTTAACACAAACACTGGATTGATGGGGCTAATCATCCACTGGAATGATAGGAGTGGCTGTGAAATCTGCCCACCAGTAGGAGGCCCCCCAAGCTCTCTGTACCCAGAGTCCTAAGGTCCCGATTCTGGAACAAATGGCAAAGCATCAGACACCAGGAATGGGTCAACCAGAATGTGAGACGCCAGATTCAGGTGCCCAGGCCTCCCCACACATAAATCCCCAGCACACAGCAGATGCTCAATAAAGTTTAGAAGAAGGAACTCTATAGAGAGTTTGAGAATTTTTTGAAGATGGAGTGAAAGGGGCCAGCCCAGTGCATTCCCAGACGCTGGAGGGACGTGGCAGGGGAGGGGTGCTCTGATTTGTTGAGCATGGGCTATACTGTCATGGGTTACCGAAAGACCCCAGAGTCCGGGCACTACTCTTTGAAAGATGTTTGATCTTTTCTTAGACCTTACAGTAGCCCAGTGAGGAGGCATGCATGACCCCATGTAATGGAAGAAGCAGGCTCAGAGAGCCCAGCGGACTTACACGAGGTCACCCAACCAGCAAGATGGCCAGGCTGGCGCTGATCTGGGCCCTTTGGACCCTCAAGGCTGCCAGCATCAGCCACCACCTCCTACATTTGCAAGAGCTGTGCTCTATATAGTCTACCATTGACATGAAGAGTCAAGTGCACATTCGCCCTGTTCCAAGACACATCCATAGTGCTTATTGATTTTTCCTTACTGCACATTAAAATGCCCGATGAGCCATGTCACACATGATCAGAAACGCACCCACAACCGTCAGCCGCGCTATGCTAGGCCTTGTTGCAGGGAACTCGGCCCAGGAAGAAGAGGAAGGAACGAGACTGTTCGCAGTGGAAAGCAAATCACTGGAATATTGGAGGGGGGCTGGGCAGAGGCTGAGCAGTTCAGAGTTTGATGCGCCCATGGTTTATAACCACACGACCTCAGTTTCTAGATCTGTTCAAAGGATCGGTGATTTCCAGTCCAGACAGGAAACTGCAGAAGGTTCCCAACCTGCCTCCCACACTCTGTCCCCAGCCAAGCATTTACCAGGAAGACAGCGGTAGGCTGGGCACGCGCCCAGACCCCAAGGGGGAAGCTCAGTTTTCCTTTCTCAAGGCAGATTTGACGGCACCAACACTTTGCAATTTGGAGTGTATGGCTGGGTGTGCACGCACGTGTGCAGAATTTAGAGAAAAATGGATGGGACAGGGAATGATTCCATTGAAAATACCTATTAACAGGTCTACAGCATATAAAGAGCAGGTACAAATAAAATTTTTTAAAATCCAGTCTCCATGGAGTGACTTGGTAAAGGAGAGAACAGGCAAAAGAAGAGAAATACAGCTAAGGGGTAAACATTAGGCAGAAAATTTAATTTTACTGGTAACCAAATACAAATGAAAGTAACAATGATAGTTTTATTACGCTGCAGAGTAGGTATTTAAGTAATAATACCCAGAACCGGTGAGGCTGTGGGCAAAACCAGAGCCCTCAAATTCCGTAACTGGCAGTTTGAATTAGTACCTCAGGAGTGGGTTTCTAACGTCTTTTTAAAACCATTCATTCCTTTGACCTAATAAGTCCCACTCCTGGGACTTTATCCAAAACCAGGGAGGGAGGGGAAATAGGAATGATTCCCAAGAATTTCAAAATAACTTCATTATTCAAAATGATGAAAAATTACAGACCGCTAACAGGGAAATGATTTTTTAAAGTTGTGGTCTATTAATTTGATACACTATCTCGAACTCATTTGTCAAAAAGTCCAACATGAGGCAATATATTAACATGAAAAAAGATTAGCCTCTAAGTGAAGCAGAAGACAAGACTGCATACAAATCTGCACTAAGAATGACCGCATATGGACAGGAACTGGTAGGGGATATAGGAAAATGGAAACAGCTCATATAGGAAGAGTGATCACACTGTAGGTGATAGTTTTTTCTTTTAAAAATTCCTCTTGGGGATGCCTGTGTGGTTCAGTCAGTTAAGTGTCCAACTCTGGGTTTTGGCTCAGGTCATGATCTCAGGGACCAGATCGAGTGGGGCGTGGAGGCTGCTGGATATTCTCTCTCCCCTTCTGGCCCTGCCCGCACCCCACATGCTTCCTCTCTCCCTCTAAATGTGACTCTTGATCTCAGGGTTGTGAGTTTGAGCCCCACATTGGGTATAGAGATCATTAAAAGGAAAAATAAACTTTAGGGGCACCTGGGTGGCTCAGTCGGTTGAGCATAGGACTCTTGATCTTGACTCAGGTCTTGATCTCAGGGTCATGGGTTTAAGCCCCGTGTTGGGCTTCACGCCCAGCGTGGAGCCTATTAAAAAAAAAAAAAAATTATTTAGAAAGAAAAATAAACGTAAAAAAAATAAAGATGCCTTGTATAATTGGTATGATGCTGTTTGTCCCAGAGATTTTTTTTTTTTAAAAATTGAAAGGAAGGGAGAGGAGAATGAGAGATAGTATTTAGTGAGTATAGAGTCTCAGGGAAGATGAAAACATTATGGAAGTGGAGAGTGGGGATGATTGTACAACATCGTGAATGTGTCTGATGCTGCTGGATGAGAGACTTAAAAATGGTAAATTTTAGGTTATGTGCATTTTACTATAGTAGAAAAAAATAGTAGGAAGGAAATATAGGCTCAAGGGAATTTTTTTGTTTCTGAAATCCGACCAGTTGGGGGTAGCCATGATATAAACAGCCCCTATAAACAGCCATGTCCCTGTTTATTGGGACAGAAGCCTGGAGGGAGAGGGGGAAGGTGGAGACGGAGGAGCATGGAGGAGGCAGGTGACCCCTTCCTACTTGAAGCTGCTCTCTGTCTTCAGGAAGAATTACATGCAGGTCGTTTCTTGGCGGAAGCTTCTGTAGGGGAGGGTAAAAAAAGGTTTTTGCTCTACCCATCTTGGGTTCTGTGGCTGGGGCCCTATCAATTATGCTGACAAGAGACAGACTGGCAAGAGGAAAACAGAAGTTTATTAGCATGTGCATCAAGCATGCACACGGGAACACTCACATGAGTAACAGAGGGAGAGAGGAAAGAGAGAGTTAACAAAAGAACAACACATTTTTAGAGAAGAGACAAGTCAAAGCAGAAGGACTTTGAGCTCCTAGAGGCAGAACACTGAGGGAAGATAGATATACTGGGAAACTATGGTGGTTAAGGCTAGTCTTTAGCTGGGTTTGTTATGCAGATCCCTCTGGTGATGCTAAGGGACTCGAGTTTTCTCCAGGGATTAACCTGTGCCCTTCCAGGCAGGGAGGGGAGGGAGAAATCTCCATAAATTTAGTACTGCTCTAGGCAAATAGGGGAAGGGTGGAGAGCTTTTCCTGTGTCTGCTTCTTCCCGGTTGCCTTCAGCCTCAAATCCTTATCCCCATGGGGCCTATTTTCAGGCAGCACCTTCTGCTACCCTTCCCCTCTGTCACTCCCGTTCTTGCCATCTGTGGGGCTTCCGACCAAATTAAAGCACATAAAGAGCAAGTATCAATACATTTTTCTTTTTTTCACAAATCTAGTCTCCATGAGATGGTTTGAGTGAAGCCTGAGTTTTACAACAAAAGGGGGTGAGGGAAAACGGCTTATGTTTGACCACTGTCTAAATAAGGAGGAAACTGACCCAGTCAACACACATCTTGGGGAAAACCATGTGAGCTTTTATTACCTAACTTCAGTTCTGGATTATTCTTTAAAGACAGGGAAGGGGGTAGAGGTTGAGGTCAGATTGAAGCTCTCTGGCCAGCATTTCCACCCTCAGGGGAGGAGTAGAGCCGATGTTTGGCTGCTGAACGCAGAGGATGCTTTCCAGTGACTTTCTGTTGCCCCAGGGGCTCTGGGAGATGATGTATATCGTAGCCTGTTTCTCCAAGAACAACTTGGAAGAATGTAGCATTTTCTGAATGTAAAGCTTTTCAAAAATTAGAGAAAAATGGTAACCTTAAGTCAACTTAAGACTTGTTTTATTTGTTCGTGGGGAAGGGGGTTTAAACTAATCAAGACAAGAAGGGGGCTGTCAAGGCCACAGTCTAGGCAAGCAAACTTGAAGGCCTAGAGGAGACAGATTTTCTGGGGCAGGGGGGTAAGTACCAACAAGAACCTGAAGGGGTTCAGAACAAGTCTTCCCAAAATGTGCAACTTTGGCACATGGACTATTTTGCACTGAAGGCAACTGAGACCCTGCAAGCTCAAGAGAATGTTGCCCCTCCCCTAAGTACTCAGAAGAATCTAAACTGAGGGGTCTTTCCCAGACTAAGGGCTATTACCAGAGATAAACTTTATCTGCATGATTCATCTGTATGGCAGGGCAAACATCTCATTACCAAACATCTGCTCTTCCTATTGCCCTGCCAATGCCCTCCTCCGCCTTTGAAGCGCCAGACCCACACCCTGTCTCTTAGCTCAGGGCAGCATATAAACCTCATTTTTCCTTTCTGTCTTTGAACCTCTCCTGTGTACTCCTGTGGATTCCCATACATATAAAATTAAATTTGGTTTCCTCCTGTTAATCTGTCTCATGTCAATTTAATTTTTAGACCAGCCAGAAGAATCTGTGAAAGGTAGAGGAGACCTTTTCCTCCCCAACATACCAAAAAGGGAAAATAGCTATACCAGAAGAAACTTGGGAAGGTTGTTGCAGAGATACCACCATTCCCGAAGCCCCATGGTGGGAGGGGAAAGGAGAAACCTCAGGCATGGATCCTTTCCCAGGTGAAGGGAACCAACCTAAAGTAAACCTTTAGGAATGCTAATCTCAATGCCATTTAAATTGACCCAGGGCGGGCACCTGGGTGGCTCAGTGGATTGAGCGGCTGCCTTCGGCTAGGGTCATGATCCCGGGGGTCCTGGGATCAAGTCCCGCATCTCGGGCTCCTTGCTCAGTGGGGAGCCTGCTTCTCCCTCTGCCTGCCACTCCCCCTGCTTGTGCTCTCCCCCCCCCCCTCTCTCTGGCAAATAAATAAATAAAATCTTTAAAAAAAATAAATAAATTGACCCAGGGCCTAGAGGAGGAAAAAACACTTCCAAGTTTTTTATCAGGGTCATTGATATCGAAAGCCAACAATTACAGCACAATAAAGGAAAACCACAGATGAACTTCACTTACATAAAAATCAAAGCAAAAATCCCAAATACAGTATTAGCAAATAAAATCCACCATGATCATTAAAGGGAGAAATCACCAGAACCAAGTGAGACTTGTACAGTATAAGGACACCTTTTAATTTACTTTATATTA